ATCAAGTAAAAGCTGTGACCTGTGCCCACATGCACAGACATGCTTTGATGTGAATACAAACACACACAAACACAAAATGTTGTCTCAATATGCTAGAGGTTCTTATCTTTTCTTCTATGCATTTTTTACAGTTAAAGTTGTACAGCTCCAATTTCACACTCATGGATCAGTTTATTTGACAAGTAAAAATACTTTTTTTAATGTCTTCTGTGACTCTGGAACAAGCTTTCTAAGATGGAAATATGTAATATGATGTAATAAAGAATAACTCAAATGAAAATTGAGATTTTTAAAGACATTTTCCAGACAAGGAAGGTCAAGACTATAACTCATATGCCTGACGATAACTAGGGACCAAAGGTCAGATATATTGGCCAGGGTTGCATAGATTATGAACATACCCCCTCTTACATATAACTTCAAACAGATCTGAACAAAAATGCAATGCAAAACATTGAAGTTCAGATGCCCTGTCTGTGTAATATTCCAGTTTAAAATGCCCTAAAGGTATTGCAGTCGAGTAATTTTTTGTAATCCGAGATTCTTTTTTCTTTCTTATTGAGACTCAAAATTCCCAATCAATAGGAATGAACCTCTGTAAAAAGAGCCGGTCATTTAAAACAAAACTCTTATTCCTTAAGTGAGGTAAACACAATGGCCCAATTATCTGATGGTTCCAAAGATTATCTTGCCAGATTTAACTGTGGTGTGTCACGTGGAAAGGAACAATAGCCAAACAGTAAGCAATCATAACGTTACACAACACAACATAGCATCATCAATTATTCCTGCTCGCTGTATTTAAAAAAAAATCTAGCTTTATCATGTTCATCCTGATTTTTCTGGTGCATTGTTGAGTCTTTTGGAACATGACTGTCACTTGTAGATCAGTGGAATCATTTGAGAAACTAAACAGATTACAATGCTCCGCAGGGTACCTTTAACAATGAATGAGGCAGAGGATGCTTGTCAACAGACAAAGGCAGGCAACTGCTTGGGGCCCCAAGGACTGAAAACTTGAAAATCGAAGCAGTGGCTGAAAATGTGCAAAGTTTGCAATGATGGTAAGAAATCCTAAGGGGGCTCCATCTGACAGCACTCACTCCAAATGAAAATGAAGAGGAATGAAGATAAACAAAGAAAGCTACAGTAGACAGAGGTAAGTGAGCAGATAATGACAATTAAATATAATAGTAAATGACAGAATGCTACTAGTCTAGCCTTCAATCTGGAATAACACAACTTCTGCTAGCTTCACATTGTGCCGTTTGTTTATTGACGTTTGCATATGAAGAAGCAGCATTTGTAGAATCAATGTTACAGTAAGAGGGTGCTGATGAGCTGGCTTCATGGTGTGGGCTTAGTTCCCTAATATAAACTATTACTAGCCTATGTCTATATTGTTCTTTTTGAAGCGATTTAGAAGATTTTATTGTTCTATTACAGTCCACCAATGTTAACACTAGCTCTTTGGAAGTACAGCACAGTTTTCAGAGGTATTTTGACATGAAGTTATGTGATCGTTCAAAGTCCCCATGAAATGAAAAATACATTTTCCTGGTTTTATTCCCTCTGATAAATATTCATTGATCTGCCATATATATTTCAAAGCATTATCTGAGTATTTTTTACATCAAAATGACTCATTGTATTTTCTCTTCCAACGTTTTAAATGCCAGATGATTCATTCTGCATTCAAATGCCAAATTCTTGACCAATTTAAAAGGTTTTTCAGAGCTAATGAGCCAATAAAATTCATCCAAACGTTATGTCTTGCCTTCTTACATGTGATTGGTTGTATCCTGTTTCAGTTGGAAATAGGTCACAGCACGTCAGTTACATCTTTCAAAGTTCCGCTTCATGGGGAAGTTTTTATTGTTCTTCATATTTATATTTTGACATTACACAGTTTTTAAAGCTTTTTATTCTTAATTCTAAATTAGTTTAAAATAGTTTAAATATCACAATTTGTTTTATTGGTGTGAGATTATTTATAAGATAGTGGTGATGAAAACTGGTTGGATAGTGCCCCTGTGAATTTTTGCCAAGGGCCCAAACAGACTCTCCGTCACCACTGAAAATAATGAATCAGGACAGTTTTAGTGTGTAGTGTTCACCTTCAACTTACGTTTAATTAAACCTGCAGAGAAAAAAGATCTCTATGACCTAGACTCTGTTTCATGTCAGAGAGGTTCCTGCTCAGAATTCATCGATTATTGGACTTTGAGGAGGTCAGAAAATGTAAAAAAGATTGACAGCAATTTGATTACAGGAGTAAATGGTGCTGATTGGGTACTAGAAAAAGAAAGACTGAAGTTGTCTGCAGCAGGTTAAAATGATTAAACTATTTCACTCCAGAAGGCAATTAGAACTTAATTAATGCCATTTATCTCCCACAGACAGGACATCATTGGCCAAGAGAGAGGAGGGCACCACCGCAGGCATCCTTACTTTCAGAACTAATGACAGGCAGAGGTCTAAGCAGAGGGAGTTTAGACCAGCACGCACACATAAATAAAGCCAAATATTCAGACATGCATTTACCACACTCACATTAAGAGTCATCATCAAAAACAGTGAGTACTTGAGACTCATTTTCACATACTGTACAGCTAATAACATTTGTGTCCAGCATGCAAAATACAAGGAATTACATCAAAATCTAAACACACAATAAATATGCAAGGCGGCAGCTGTATTTCTGTCAGATATTTATAGTCTTCCACACGGAGTCTGTAAAGTCTTTGTTTACAGGTCTCGTCTCCCCTGTCTCCCTCCTCTTGATAGCCTATTTCATCCTGGTCACTCCACTCTTCTCCTCCAATGATTTATTGTCGCATGTTTTGTCTCTGTTTTCTCCTGCTATGTATTACATTTTCCACCACCATCCTCCTGCTTTTGTCCTGCAGGAACATCTTTATTAACTTTTATCTGAGGGATTAAAGTGCAGTGTGTTGTTATACTGTACACACTGTGAACATGAGTGCTTACCAGAACAATGTGTTATCTCAGACTTTTTATTTATACATTATAGAAATGAATCTACAGGAAAAGATTTAACTACTAAGATTTTATATAAGTCAAACTTTTTTTATTTGAAAAAAGTCTAAAGGCTGCGTCGCATCAGGGCTGAAATAAGTGAGTGGTTGCAATAAACACAAGAATGATTTTTTTGCAATAAACAAGATCAACTTGTCTATATGGCTTAGACAAATAGGATGAAGTCAAACCATTCTTATAATTAGGGATAATTAGAGGACATGGAGATAAAGTTGCACCATTACTTGAATCAATTAAATATAGAAACTAATAAAGCGTATTATTTCAGGCCTTTCCAGCACAAATCTGATCCTTTCAATCAACACGTCAAATCAGAAGTACAGTACTCCTGAATTCAAAATACGACTTTCTACCTCGCCTACGCTGCAGTATCAAACGTCGGAGTGACAAGTGTGGAGGAATATTTCCCCTCCAGCAGCATCAAAGCTTCTCTATAAATACATGCACAGACGCACACAACACACAATGACCCACATGCAAAGCAAACACACAGACTGCCTCCATGAGAGTGATTGGAAATGGGAAATCATGTAAAAACAATCGTCCCCTTGGGATTTACAGCAGGGAGTACACATAGAATACAAACACACGTGCTCAAACACACACAGACACACGGAACATAACAGGAAAGGTTGGCTTTAACTCACTCTTTTTAATCTTGTGCATGTTTGTACTCTCGTCAAAACAGTTCATTCAGAGGGGAAAATAGGATGTGAAATAAAAACAAGTAAAGGGAGCACAGTTAATATTTTGAGGGAGAACGAATGTTGTGTCAGCAAACCTAAAAGTAGATTAAGGAAGAGGCTTTCTCACCCCAAAACCTCCTGCCTAGAGCAGAGATCCCAAGAATCAGCTTTTCTGTCACAACGTATCAATATGATAAAAAAAATCTACTAAGAAAACCATTGCTCACCATATCACCTTCCAACAAACATGTCACCATAAGCCGCATCAACAAGAGAACAGGGATGAAAACTGTTTGTCACACCTGGCAAGACAGGACCGGATCACAAACAAGTTTGCTTTAGGATGTCCTAACCATTAACATTTGGAGGGAAAAGAGAGCTTAAGACTTTGATGCACTCTTAAAACTGAACATATCTCAGATTTAAAATGTACATAAATGCAAAAGACAGGCAGAGAATATGCAAATTGTACTGTCAACATCTAAAACACTTCCCAGTCTTTCTAACGAAGGTAAATAACTGCAGCCCTGATAAAGAATCCTTTGAAATCATGCTCTCATGGGGTTATGCTGATCCAAGACCAACGGATCACGTGCTGTGTGGAATAATTGTATCTGATTTTAACAAAAAATAAAAAAAATGTACTGAGTGGAGCATTGATTTTAAAAACAACTAGACGGGCCACCTGTATGTCAAGCGTGGCGCATCCATGTGACTGAAGCACATCAGTGACGGACCCTGGGAAAAGGGAGTCTTGGAGGTACGAGATTACTAAAACCATTCTGATCAAAACAAGTCAGTGTAGATCTGTTTCTTCTCATGAGCGTATTGAGATTGTGTTTTGTGTTAAAACATAAAATGATCAGAAACTACGAAAGATTGTGGTGTTGTTGTTGTTGTTGTTGTTGTTTTGTCACGGAGATGCATCCAGCCATCAAAAAACGCACACAAGAGATTGGAATCACAAGTCCAGGGGCTGTTTTCTGGCCCATCGTAAGTCCTGGTCTGACACGCAGGTGGTTTGTTATTGTCACCTCCAGTCCACCAAAAAACAGGTTTGGACTGTCCAGCCCAACACATGTGTCATTTTGCACAAGACTACATCCGTTTGACAGCCAAGATCGCTCCCAAGTCATTGTAGATACAATTTCAACAGTAATGTTGTGTTTGCAAAGACATATTCAAGAATACTGTTAAAGATACATTATTACAAATTCAAATGTGCAAAAAGCTTCATTCGAGTGATAAACTTACCACTTTGCTGAGTGGGAATTCCCTTTTACATCCTACTGCAGGTGTCGGTACGCTGCGCTATACCTCCAACACTGGACCCGGATTCACTCCAGCGCTCTCCAGGACAGCCGGCTGTCAGCCAGAAACGTGACCAGAATAATTTGCCTCTGTTTTGTCATAAATATTACAGCGGGAGGGGGGGAAGCCCTGCGCGGCTGCAGATACAGAGCAGTAGTAGCAGAGGTTTAAACAAAACCAGAAAAGACAAAAAGACAAAAGGTAAAATCACAGTGTTTAGGCGTTTTCTCTCTTTCTTTGAATCGTCCCACTCAACACGGCACGCTACACCTGTCCACTTGTATGCAGAGGACTTACACAGCATCCCACACCCGGAGAGACCAAACGCATGATTATGTGCTCAACGCTTGCTGGAGCGCAGTCGCTCCATCCCAGCGACCAATACGGTGATCTGCAGGAGGAGGGGGGGAGGGAGGGGGGAAGGAAGGATGTAGAGGGATTTTTGTAGGAAGGGGGAGGAGACAGGGATGCGGGAGGAGGACTGGGTGGGGGGGCGGGATGGGTAGTCTTTTACAAGGACGACCTCAGATTCCTCAAGGGTGAACACTGTCTTTCAGCGAGATTTCCAAATGACTCCTCCTTACCCTTAAAACAAATTGTTAAACCCTTCACCTGATGCAAGTCAAAGGAAAATGTCTCCGTTCAGGCTTTACTTGATACATTTTGTCTCTCCCACTGTGGAGGAGGCTAGTGTCTACGCTCTGTTGCACAGTGAGTGCTGCACAGTGAGACTCTAAATTTCCATGTGTTGACTTCATCGCTGCTGGTTTAAGGGGAGATTCATGAGGCTTGAAGCCATAGCAGGAAAACGATCTCCTCATAACATGGATCATATCTACCACCTGCTCACCTGCTCACCTGCTGACTTACTGTATGCGTACTCTGTCACTTGAACTGTGTGCAGGGATCAAGGTCATTGACTGTTCAATTTGTGAACTTGGGAGCTCATAAATATAAGGTCCATGTCACTGCAGCTCTTACACTGACTCACAGATGATTGTTCCAGCAAGGGCTTTAAATTGCTGTACAAAATGAATCTGGGAGATAAACTGTGCAGAGGTGGGTTTAGATAAAGTTGTGAACACCTACAGTTTTTTTAGGAGGTAGCTTATGTCAGCTGTTTGTTGTGCAGGTAAACCACTAGAGTGGAAGGTGGGCTAAAACCCTCAATAAAACCTTTACACATTTGTTTTTCTCAAAGGGATAAAAGCCAGAAAACCAGATTCTGAATTCTAAACGTATCTTAGTTTGGTAAATTGTTCACAGAACTTTTTAAACGTGAATTTGCATGTGTACTAAAAAACAGAAGGATAAATAGTTGAAGTTTCTAAAACTTCCAAACCCATCATAGTCCTTCCTGCACTCCCATACACTGAAATATGTACTGAACTATTCATTTGATAACTTAATATTGTGATGATTAACTGCTGCATGTTATAAGTGGTCTCAGATATGGAACAGGTCAGAGTGACCTACTTCTGGGCTTCGATCTGTTGCTTTAAATGTGTGGAACAAAGAAATCTGTGTAAAGAGACCGCAGGTGTCTATTCTTGGAAGGAAATAAAAAGCAACATGATGACTGTGTGTGATCCTTAACAGATTGTACGAAACCACTACTCACAGTCTAAAGATTGAAGCAGGGTTTTTCTTTTGTTTTTTGAACATTTTTTGCCCCCATAAAACACTTCACACCCTCTGCCCTCTATTACCAGATCTTTTTCCGCTGCTCACCTTCTCCCTCTCGCTGCAGGAAACAGAGACAGAGGCCCCCCTGTGAGCTTACAGCAGCCTCTTTTTCTTTGTTCGACCACCACGAAAACCACAGTGAATGGCCCTTGCTACTGATCTGAATCTCTTGCTAAAACAGTCACATACAAATGCAAAGCTAGCCAGTGATTAGGAGCATCTGCCAAACACCCACATACCATATGCCTGTGTCACTCAGCCAAAGAAAAATACTGAAAATGTGCACTCACAATCCTAGAAAGCAAATCAAAACATTATGAAGACAGAAAAGCTCAGGAACAGACACATGTGCAAGGAAGCATACATGTTAACACTCAAAGTATTGAATCGATCTCTGCTCTCCATCACCTCATATGGTTTACTGATTTTTGTTATTTCCCAGAATGCCTTTCTGAGACAAGGTGCATGAACTTGCTGCATGCATGGGTTAAAAAAGCAACAGTAGCAAAGATTTTCCAGTCAAAAAATGTATATGCAACATGTGGCAGAGTTTATGGACAATCTCATATCTATTGTTCTACAGGCCTTTTTTTTACATGGTTTTTAAATGTCAGTACAAAATGCTAAGGCTAAAAAAGAAACTCTCCAGTGATGTTAAAATGTGCCCTTTCCCTGTGATGTGTCAGATCAGAGTAAAGTTTTCGGTCAAGCCTTGTTGTAGCTGCACTGGAAATTCTTTAAGGTGTATTTGGCTCATTACAGGAATGAGAAGAAAACATTCAACCAAACCACACAATGCTTGTTTTAAGTATATAAAAACTGCAAAAGCATGTGCATGTGAAAACTGGACCCAGAGAAAATGATCAAATGTATTTTTCTGTAGTTAATATTTTACAGTGACCCCTGTTACCTCCCTGTTTTTCCCTGGAGAGAGATTTCCCCTTCAGGCATCAATAAAGCAGATCTGTTTCTCCCAGTGGCTTTATCTTCTTCACAAGCAAGTGAATTTAAACACTCTGCTGTCGTGTTTTCAGATCAATGCTGAATTAAAGGTCCCATATTATGCTTTTTCTGGTTTTATATGCTCTTTAGTGTGTTTTCCATGTGTCCTGTGCATGTTTAGGCACATCTATTTGCAAAAATTCAAAGTCTTTTCCTACCTCCTCCTGTTAGCTGTAGCATTAGCTGCATGTAACGCTCGGTTCTAGCCCCCCTCGATAAAAATTGCCAGTGTGACGTCTTGTCAGTGTGAGATCACTGATCTAAGCCCATTGGCTCGTTGTGGCAAGCCCAGCAGCTCATGTTGCACGCCCATTAACTTCTGTAGCACGCCCACGATATGCTGTAGCCTGCGGTAGCACAGTAGTGCTAATGTTTTTGCTCTGCTCGGAGCCAAAGTGGCTGCATTCCCAATATCGTAAAAGGGGCGGGACATTTCCAAGAACCGTGCTGAGCGACTCACCAAGTACAGCAGAGCCGACATTCCCACCAATCAGATCAGACTTGGCACATGTGGGGACTCTGAACGTGGGCACTTAAGAGCCGGTGCATGGAGCGGCAGTACATGAAAACAGACACCTTTTTAAAACTTTAGCTATTGTGAACATACCTTAGTAGATACATAGATTAAATATACAAACCCCAAAAAGGGCAGATATGGGCTCTTTAAAACATTTATTGAAGTGACTTACTCTAGCCTCTGTGGTGTGACTATTGCTTCAGCCATGTCTTCTGTCAACAGCATGCCTTGCAGCAACAGGAATTTGTGTCTCCGTCATTTCGCTGCAGCATCAAAAACTCTGGTACTACCTCTGGCAAACCTGGACACAACCAAAGATTTATATATTTTGGTCCCATCCCATGGTACTCTAATGAGTTCAACATAACATTAACACTGGACCCTCAAACTTCTCTATTTGGAAACGCCTTAACGGTGAGAAAAATCGACCAATGTGCTAGGACGGTTTTGGTGCACAGTATGGTAATTGCCAAGAGATACATTTTAAAACTGTGGAAATCCAACGCAGCCCCCAAGTTTGAGGTTGGGCTACGGTAGCAGGTGAATATTTTACATGCAAATACACTGAGAACCCAGTTCTACAGCAAGGACTGATAGAAGCCTTTAACCCCCTGTATGATCCTGTTTTTACAGAAATCTTTCATATAAGCAGTGAAGATGTTTAAATAACGTGTATGTATGTGTGTGTGTGTGTGTGTGTGTGTGTGTGTGTGTGTGTGTGTGTGTGTGTGTGTGTGTGTGTGTGTGTGTGTGTGTGTGTGTGTGTGTGTGTGTGTAAAGATACAAGATAGGAACTTTTGTGAAGCCTTTGTGGCTTGACAAAATGACCTTGAGCTGAGTTTTTTGGAAGGCAAATGCTGAGCCTTGGGCATGAGGCTGCCAGAGAGGATTATGGAAGAGTCAGAGTCAGAAAGACTACTAATAAAAAAAAGAGAGACAGAAAGAGAGAGAGAGAGATTATATATTAAATAGATACAGCTGTGAAAGAAAGAAAGACAAAAGAGATGATCTGCAGCAGCTGTTTGATCAGAGTCCACCCATTTTCAATCTTGAATTATGAATGAGCAGATTCAAATACCTTTTCCCACACAAAGAAGGAAGCGTGGGCCCAGAGAGGCAGTTCACTAAATGTCACCTCTGAAGTGTGTTTGTATAAGCTAATGGTGTCCAGCATAAGGAGGGGGTAGACTGACAGTTTGATTTACCCCCTCATAAGCGTACCCAGGAAGTAACCCTAGAACCCGCACTTCAGGTTGAATATTGACTGTGTCACGATGACTGTGCGACCTGCCATGACGGGCCATATCACCTTTAGCCTGTATTTGGTGGTGACTGTAAACTATAATTTTCCTGATGTGGTACACTCACTATGAGTCTCCTGGCTCTTGCTTTTCAAATATGTCTAATGGGCTGTGAAATTAGTTTTGTCTCGACGCACAATATGGCTACAGAACAATTGTGTTCTATATAGTCTCCCAAAAGTCCTGAATTTGAAATTGTTTTTTCACTCTATATTACATACATTGGAGCCATTAAGAAACACACACATTCTCAATTTTCTGTACATGTACAGTACCTTGCAATGGTTTTTCTCCTTTGAGAGAAATGTAACGTGACAAAATATAGAAAGTTCAAGGGGTGGGTAAACACTACAAAGTCAGGTTAAGGAATAACACATTTGATCAGTATGAATTGCTCCCAGTAGAGACAGAAAAGTTTTTTTTTTATTTGATTGGCTGATATTTTTGTCTTGTATGCATGAGTGAGTACAGGTTTCTGCATGACTAACCATTTAGCCGTGCTCCTGCAGTCAAAGCCAGTCAAGATATTTCTGGTTTGATTGAACTGCAAAGGGACTTTGTGATGGATGGAAGATGCAACGTTCACTGACCTGTCACTCCCCCCCCCCCCCCCTCCCCGCTGTGTCTCTTGGCTCCCTTCTTCCTGACCCCTGCCTGTGAGGTCTGCTCTGGATGGCATCAGACATCATTGGCCCCTTTCTGCAGAGCGGTCCTCCTCCTGAGCTGTGGTCATCATCAACAAAATCGGAAAACAAGATGCCTCTTCTGTGTTTTCTTTAACACCAGAGTCTATGAGCCCATTTGATCATATTACCTGTAACCTGCCAGAAAAAATATGCTCAGTAAGAGAGACAG